TTTCGATATCGTAACTATTGGACTTTTAAGTCTACACCCCATGGACGCAAAAAAAACGTGTTAGACCTATAGAGCAAGTCTGTTTCGACTCGAAAATTCGGATCAAATCAAATTTTTTTTCAAAAAAATCGTGTTTTTTATTGTTTAATTGTTCATAACTTTTACACATCAACTTTTTTGACAATTCTGACGCCGGATTCGAAAAGTTCATAAAATTTTACGTCGGTTATGACTATTCTGACATTTCTGACATAATTTTTTCACAGAGTTTACAGCGAATGAAAAAATAACTGAAATTTCGTCCGTTTGGCCCGAAACGGGTTAATTATTTTAGTGAATAGTATTACGTGCCTAGGTGGCGAAAAAGTGGAAAGCCATAGAGCACGTTTAATTATTGGACGAGGTGAAACCGAGTCTTTTTTCACTTCATAGGTGGTTGATTCTCCCGAAATCTGCTTTTCGCATATCTACATGCTATGTTCTTAAACTAGTAAAAATAAGTCAAAACTGGATCGGCCATTCATTCAATATTGTTGTATTCTTCCGGACTAGACATAAATATTTCAATTTTTCATTGCCAGTTACATTTGTCATGGAGATATACATGCCTACTGTTACCTCCATGGAATGTCTCGATCTCAAAATCGAATCCCTTCTCATATGCCATGCATCTTTATAGGCAACTTTACATAAATAATATTCCATAAATATACTCAAATATTTAGAGTTTTTTTTATTCAAACCATTTCTTATCGTACAAGCTTTTGCTTGAAGTTACGTAAAACTTATATGGTCAAAAAACATATATAACCACGTGGATTTTTGACTAATTACGAAGATTTTTTTCTTCAGAAAACTTCATGGCTTTCTAACAAATCTTTCATAGATAAATGAATGATCCACGAGGTTTGTTTCGAGGAAATCTCGTAGCTAATCAAAAATCCACGAGGCTTACCTTCGTGAGCACTACAACTTATCCATATGGGAAAAGCGCATCCGCGGAATCCATGTCTGTTCCACGCGCTTGGACATCTGGATTGTAGCTATTTAATACATGTTAGTTATAAAAAAAACCTTTAGTTATTGTTACATTGATTGATTTAAAAAAAATATAAGTACATTATTTTAATTCATATGGGTGTATGAATTTATATGTATACCCGACGAACATAATATCTATCCGGCCTGACTTCACTTGTTTCGATGATTCGGAGCCTATCTATACGTTTATGAGAATCATGTCTAGTGTAAAATAAGGTCCGGACAGATATTATGTCCGTCGGGTGTACAATTATTGTTTTTGGAGTAAAAGATCAAAAAATCAATGCAAACAATTTTTTATTTTGGATTCTAGCTGCTGGTCAGAAGAGGTTAAAAACCAATTCACAACTTAATTGGCTTTAAATTAAGGTATTTATATAAATGAGCATTTCAGACAAATGAAGAGATGTAATAATAACTTTTGAATAAACTAAGACGAGGAAATTTTATTTTCACCTGCAAGCCGTGTATAAGTCTTTTAGCAAGTTTTCTTGCAGCTATGATCAGGCGAGTATATTTAAGCTTCATCCTTTACATCGAGATGACTATATAGAAAGGACAAACAACGTTTTCGTCGGGTCATATTCGCGAAAGTTGTTACAACGCGACGAGAAAAGGTCGCGAGAGAAAAGCTGCGGGGGATATAGAACTAAGTTGTTTGGCAGGCATTTTGGCCATTCCGAAATTGAATCCCGCATGACTGGCGCCACATAGAGAAGGTTGCTAGTTGCTACTGTTCCTCTATATACGAATGTACCCGAGCTCATGCAACACATACGCACACTCACTTGCAGGGAGCTAGCTGCAACTCAGAGAAAGAGGGAATGTTATAATTAATTTATAATACCCCTAATTGCGTTGGCCGGTCTCGGGCATTTAATTCCTACGCTAATTAAACGGACTGTTCCATCGGGCTCTACATTCACTACTACTGTATGTAGACACACGCGCGTACACATACAAATAACCTCTCTCTCTCTCCCTTGCTCTGTCTTTCTCTCTTTTGGCATTATGCAGACGCGTAACCCGGAAAATTTTCCGCAGCCGACGCATACAAATATATATACACGTGTATGTATGGGCACACACGTTTACAGCATGTGCGTATACACATTTGTGCGGGAATGCATACTGCATCCTGTCTGCGGTTGAGATGACTTGATGTTTTTCTCGTGCTCATTTTGTTCTTTTGTATACTCAGCTGCTAGCAAAAAAGTGCGAAATTATGCACATGCGAGATTTTGCACCACCTTGCTGCTTGATTTTGTTTGATGTTTCACGCCACGCTCGGTTTTTTATCTTTTTAGCTTTTTTTGTCCCCTATTTTGGAGATACAAATTATAAATGCTAATTTACTTTGTCGTAGTCGTGCAAAAATAGTTGAGACACTTGAAGTTAAAATTTATTAAATATATAGAACTCTGCCCCGGAAATAAAAATTCTCTTCGAAAAATATTTTTTACTCAAAATTCATCAAATTTCATTATCAAGAATTTATTAGTTCTGCCTTGCAGATGTTGTAAAAAATATATAATAATTTCATTTTTTGCCTCTCCTTCTTCAGAATTACTTCTATTCTATGAGAAAATAAGATCGTGTTAAGGGCATAGAAGGGTCTAACATAAAAAACATTTTTATTAACTTGGCACAGTGCTACAAAATCGCCTATCTCGTTGCGCTCGGGCCCTAAATCATACCGGGCCGTATTAGAAATTGATAGTTCTCTCTTCCACCTGAAAACATTTTCTCCTGAGTTTTTGGTGTCATTGAAAAAAAGACTCCGTTACTTTTTGTGTGCAATTGATATTTTCCGAAATATTTCCCCATTAGAAAATATTTGATGAGAAAATGAGTTCTCATGACTATAGATAAAATAAAAAAATCATCCGGTTTCTCTTCTGAATTTTGATAAAACGATTGTATTCATAAAAAAATCGATTTCTTGTTTGCTTCAATTGTAGCATTGTATTGTATCAATCAATATACAGTGGAAATCACATAATTCGAAGTCCCGGGGACCGCCATTCGATTTCGAATTATTATTTAGCAGCCATATAATTCGAATTTTTTCGAATTGTGTGATGATTTTTTTTGAATGCCAATGTTTTATTAAGAACACATTGGTAAAACAAAGGGCTTTTATGTATGTTGAAAATACCTGTCGGTTCGCGGTCCGAAATCATATGGTGCATTATTTCAAAAGCATGATATGGCAATTGTTATCGTAGCTATTAGAAAACTTTAATTTCCGTAAATTACGACCACATTGATTTGCCAGCCAGATAAACATGCAAAATGTCCCCTCCGTGACCTGTCCTGAAGTCAGAATCGATTGTTTTCACTCACTAAATACAATTTTACAAAAATCCAGCAATATTGTGGTACATGGGGCCTATTCTAGATATCCTAAATAAAGTTTTTTTACGTCTTCCATCATCTTAAATAGTCTAAAAACAATTGTACATAAGTAACAAATGTGTCTTTAAATTATGTGAAATTTTGCATCATTTCAAATTAGGACAAGTAAACGTGTTAGTGCATCGATACATTCGCATTAAACGTATTTCGAGGACTTTATTTATATTTAATTAAATAGGATGAACAGGACGAATGGAAAAAATATTCAACTAGTAGATTTGATAGGAAATTTGCTCAGCTTTTCAATGCTGCAGTGCAAGCAGTAGATGATAATATTGCTTTCTCATAGAGAAAGCTTTGTGATGGGTCTAAAGTAGTAATGTATGCAACGGGTGCGGATATGCTTTTTCTGCAAAACGAGGGGTTGCAGCACGAGCCGAAGGCGATTCACACAAGTTGCATACAATATTTTAAAGCACAATAGCCTAAAACTAGCGTCAAATTGCGATTTTTAGTTTTTGAAAGCAGAGTTTTCTGGCGGTTTAAGATAAGAAAACCCGTGCTTCGCGCATGCAGTGTTAAAAATGACTATTTCGCTAAACTATTACATAAAATATAAATGTATGCATCGGTTGTGAAAATAAGTTTTAAACAAAACTCAGCATAGTACTTTCTTTTGTCGAAAAAAATGTCAACACCTATGTGTATCTTTTCATTATTAATTACAGTGAAATGCGATTCAATGAGCCAAAAATGTATGGAATTCTATTTTTTTCAATTATGATTTTTACAAGTTCAAGACAGAATGATCACGAATTCGTCGGGTGTACGATTTATCGTGTTCAACATCGTTCGAATAATGCCTTTTGACAATATGATCACTCTTTCCGTCTATGGAATTTCCCACACCTCTTTCTAACTTTGAAAGTTGATTATGAACTGTTTCATATTTGTTGTTTTTAGCAATTTTATGCCATTTGCACCATATTTTTCTTTTTGTATTCGTCCATTCTTTTAGAAAGCTGTGAATATTGTTTTTAGTTTTTATTGCTATATCGTGTATAATTTTACGTCTCAGCCAAATATGCTCGTTATATTTCATCGAAAGCAAATTCTTTATTAGATCTGTTTGAGCTATTTCTTCAGTCCCAAAGCTGATACCAAAATTTATCAAGGCGAGAAAGATTATGGTGCAGCGCCACTTGTAGCTAAGTGGTAATGATAATTGAAATAAATTTAAAATCCATTGAGCTGCAACAAAATTGTTGTCAAAATATTATATTTTCTAAGTAAATAATTGTGCAACTGCAAAAATGTCCGTATTTTCTATTGTGATCGACAAAGACTAGATTACAGACAATATAGGGTACTTGGACCAGTGACGAACCGCTTTCGACCAGTAAATGACCACTTTTAGATGTGCAATAATTATTCTTTTTCCTTATTATTTGATGATCGGACATGGAATACAAGATGCATCGTTTGCTAAAGAATTGAATGACATCCATAAAAAAAATTTTTTTTATTGTTTTTCACTTAGTATTTTTCAAAATGGTCATTCATTGGTACCCGGTCATTGATTGATCCGATTACCTTACTTGTATAATAAGTTCTTATGTAAGATTTCACGAATGATTATTGACAATATAAGCTCTTTTGTAACTACTTCCGTGAGTTAATTTTTACGAAAAAGCTTATTCAACTCAACAAAAACTAGCTTCAAGAAACTAGATTAATTTTGTTACAAAATATTTGAGATTTCACATAATAAGCTTTTATGTAAATGCTTTCGCCAAAAATTACTTGAATTTTTAGGGTTTTCAAAGTGAAACAGTACTTGAGAATTTACGTAAGAATTAATACCATTGAAAATCGTGCGTAATAGTTTACGTAAGTAAATTCGATTCAATCATATGAACTTATTTAACATTTTCATTGAGGTCTGTGCACTTGAATAAAAATTGCTGTAAGAATAAAAGCTAAAAAAATAACACAAGCTAAAAAAAGTAACTCAAGTAGCCACGTCATTAATTACGCTCGAGCGACAAATGTACCGTGCATTAATTGAGAACCAAAGTCAACCGAATCATAAACTACTAACTCTCCGCGTCTTTATTTTAAATACAAGTTAATGCTTATAGCTAGATTCATTATGAGTTTTACCAGGATTGAGAGTGATGTAAGCACTGAGAAGAGTGTTGATGACGAGCATGGCTGTAAATGGATAATTCGTGTAGATGGATTTTCTGTGTGGTTTGCCGCGTGAAAAAACAAAGGCCAATATTAGGTACTGAAACAAGCTCAGGCAAAAGACAGAATAACTTTCGTATTGGTCGGCGCTCGCTAAGTCCAGCCAATCCTGCCGTCGAACCATACAAAAAGCGTAAAGCTGAAAACTCGTTAGAGCAACGACCTGACAGCAGAAAGATGCGACCGATTTAAAGCTCAGAAGATTGTAGTCGGGCAGTTGTTTGGAGAGCTGAGGAGCTGCCTCAGTATCACCGAACAGTATCTCAGCAGCGAAGACTAGGAACACATCGATGAAGGTCCATTCGAAGTCGTTGAATATGTTATCCTGACTGCTGTAGAGAATCAAAGCCGAAGAGAACTGCACGAAATTCATAGCAAAGATATACTTGAAGAGTCCGAACGATGTGGTTAAGGCTGCGCGACCTTCGCTCACGATCATTGGTATGCAGCCGATATCGGGCTGCTTTGACACGAACGGGCTGGCGACACTGAAAAAATGGTCGTTTGCTGAATCCACCGGTATAAGCAGTCGTGATTTATCATCCACGAATTTACCTTATCTCAGCGTCCGACAGAGATATGCCGATGTGAGCGGCTCTGAGAGCAGCACAGTCGTTTGCTCCGTCCCCGCACATAGCTACATCGCAAGGCGTATCTTTAATAAACCATCGCTCATAGCTATTGTTACTCCAACTCTCTTACCTACGTGGTGGCCTATCTTTGCCAGCTCGACGATGAGCTGCTTTTTTTGATCACTCCTCATTCTCGCAAAAACCACTCCATATCGGTAAATTGGCAACAACAAATCTCTACGATATTTGTGTACGAAATCCCAGGTTTGACCGCTCACTGCAATTTTACTGCTTTCCGATATTAGACATTCCAATGAGCTACTCGAGTTAATTCTACATTGCCACTTTTAAAATTAATTATAACAGTTAATGCTCGATGTATTATATTGAGCTTTGAAAATTATCTACCTTTCCGTGTGTCAAACTTTCTGCATACAAAGCTGCTTGTTGCGGGAAATCCTCAGCTTTATCGTAGTCCGACTCCATCGATATTTTCAATAAAACTTCTTCTTCGCGTACGAGCTCGCATTCTTTTGCAACGCTTATAGCGGTTTCCATATTGTCGCCTGAAATTTTACACATACATTTATGTAACTGGCTTTTTTTCCAAAGTACCTATTGAAAAAGTGTCAATCAACCTACCCGTTACCATAATTGAACGCAAGTTTGCACATCTTAATTCTCTGATTACTTTTAAGGTCGGTTTCTTAAGTTTATTTCTAAAAATGACGAAACCTAAAAACTTGAGATGATTCTCGATCTCATCTCTTGTTAATGACTGAATCTGTTGATTAGTAATTTAATAAAAAAATTATCAAGAATGTGTTTTTATACAATAATTAAAAGGTATGGCACCTCATTATCATCCATATTCAGCTCGCGGAATCCAAATCCAATGACCCTCAGTCCTTGCTCTGTATAGTTTTTTAAAATGATTTTGATATTGTTTGGATGAGTTTCGCTCTTACTCAGTTTCATAATCATCTCCGGCGATCCTTTGGTGTAAGCGACAAATTTGCGAGAATTTCTTACTCTAGCAATTACAGACATCCTCTGCAATTCATTTGAAAATGGATACTGATGTATTATTTCGATTGCTGTTCCGTACAGATTTACCGATTGTGGCGGTTTGACCGTACGAATGTCGCCCCAATGTTCAGCAGTCGATTCAAGTAAAGTCCAGCCAGTTCTTGAGAAAATCTTTCAAGAATGAGAAATTCATCAGGTTTGATGTCGTACGCGTCTGAGTTTCGATTTTATTACCTCCATATCGATCTGATTTCCAATGAGCTGCCCGTCAACCATGAAGAGACTGTGACACACCAACATTCCTTCGATTATTTGATTATTATTCAACTCACCAATCTCTTTTTTGAGTGGTCCAAAATTCGACTCATTTGCTACGACGCCAACCAGTTCAAGACCTTCTTCCGTCAAAGTCCCTGTCTGCATGATCAATAGCAATTAAGTTTTTTCAATCACTTACGAGTAAACAGAAATTTTTACTTTGTCTAGACAAATACAATCGATGCTTCCCGCTAAATTCATTAGGTTCGAATTCGTGCATTTGATATCATTGCATTCCAATCTAGACTGAGCATATGCTGTTCCGATTTTCAAGATTGACGGCAAAGCTGGAGGTATGTTGAGAGTTAATATTGCCAAAATTTCTAGTAGTCGCAAGTGGCTAAGATCCTGTTATATGTGAAAACTAACAAATGTTTTTCAAAAATATTCTCAAGACATGGAATTTTCAATACCTTTTTTGAAAGAGGGTATACAATTGCTACTAGGGAAATGAAAAAAATGGCCCAGCGAATAAAATCGGAGTCTTTATCGAATTTAAAATCCATTTTTGGTGGGTACAGGATCGAAGTAACGATGGAACCTTTGCTCGTTTGATAACCAGTTCCAATGACTCTGGCGAGGACTGGTTCATTGGTACGATTTCTTAAGTTAATTTGAAAAAATTTTTTAATTATTCATAGACAAAAAATTACAAAAAAATTCTTACTTGGTTTTCATTATGGTTGTGCCACCAAAAATTGTATTAGACAAAAACATTTTTGAATCGTACGTCGTTGGATATGCTGGCAACGGAGTTTTCAAAACAGGAGTCGATTCGCCTGCGCAATATATCTATTTGTGTTTTAACCAACAAAATTAAATCAAATTGATTGCATTCATTACCGGAGAGCATTGCTTCATTGACAATGCAGCTACCATTTAAGAGTACAGCGTCGCAAACAATCAGTCCCTGGTGTTTCGGTAATTGTATTATGTCTCCTGGGGCTAATTCCGAGCTCGAAACGTTCTCAAAAGATCCGAAGCCTCTCTTTACCCAAACTCGCTCTTTTATTTCGATGGCTTTCTCAAAATCATCTTGATTCTGTTGGATATAATTATTTTAAGATATAAATATCTTTTCATTTTCAACGAAAATTTCATAACTTGCCCTTTTTAATTCTGAAACATCAGTCCATACGCCATGTGCAATCAATAAAAAGTGTATCAGAACGGCCCAAACATTTCCGAAACTCACCCACAAAAGTGAACTTATTGCATATAGAACGTTGGAAGGTTCCATAATTACTTTCAAGGCTAGTTCAGCAATACTTGATCTTTGACCTTTGATTTCATTATTTCCGTAGACCATGCGACTGAAAAAATTTGATGCGTTAGAATTATTCAGATTTTATTAATTTATTTAACCCATATACCGTATGAGCTGGACAGTGTAATCAAAAACAAATGAAGATCCCAAGTCGCTGCAGTTTGCAAATCTATCAAAGCGAGCTAGCTTTGAAAATTCTCTATTTTTTTCATCCCAGATATAGCACTGTTTTTTACACCAAAAAGCTCGGTAATTCGATGCATATACACTCGAGCCATTTTCCAACATTATTTCTAAATCTGTGTTACGTATTCTTTGGATTGAGTCTTGATCAAGCGAGAATAGGCGTAATTGAATATCGCTGGAAAATTGTATCAATACTGAAGGATTTCGAATTGATGTGATATATAAAAGAGTAATGATTTAACTTTAACGCCTACCTCACATTTTTTGTTGATATAGTTTTAATGTCTTTGATAAAATATGTTCGACTCTTTTCTTTGTTATAATCCTTGTGTAAAATATTCATGATTAAGATACATGGGCAAGGCTCACAATGGTTTAAATTGTTTTTAATGGGTTTTTGGTAGACCGGGCCGTTTTTGCAACAATTTTTTGTTTCGCCTGGGCTCATGGCTGAGTTGAAAGTTTAAGGTTTCAGGTGAAAAAAGTCGTACCTAATAGTGACGGGAACGGTGTCGATAAACTTTTGAAGTTTAATAACGTGGTTCTAAAATCGATTTATTTAGCAAAATCGCTCTCAAAAATGCAATCATATTGTAGATTGCTAACTTTGTTCTGAGGGTAATATTTATATAAACAAGACGTTTTCTAACGTAATTTTGGGTAAAGAATCGAATTCTCAGTCTCGGTCAGTTTTGACCGAGGACTACGATTTCATTGAAAAAAATACATTTTTTATGAACATTTTATGGCAAACGAATATTTTAATTTTAAAAAAAGTATCATGCAGCTAAGCGCAAAAACTTTATATAAATGTGCAATAAAAAAAATTTTTTTTAAATACTTTCTTCAGGGTGTAACGAAAACAAAACTGTTGCAAAACTGCCATTTATGCCCCATGGCGGGGTACAGTTTGGCATGGCACGGGGTATTATTAGCGCATGAAAACTCGCTTAGAGAGAGAGTTGAGAAAAATAACTTTATGCGTACAAAAATTTTCCTTCTCTTATTATTCATATTAGAATTTGAAATTCAATTATTTGTTGGTGATTGTAAGCTTAAATTTTTGTTACAATTTTCAAATTGTATTTTAACATAATGGCTGAGATGGGTTTTATCTCTAACTTGATTGACCACTATTTACTTTTTGGACGGCCAAAAACATTGAGACCTCGTCACAACTATTTTTTTTTTTACTTTTTTTCTTTTATATTTACGCACCATTGCAATAAATATGAAGCAATAAATACTGAGATAAGAATCGAGTAGCTACGATTGCTGCCGTCTGCTCTCGTAATATGTGAGGTTAGATTGGCGACGTCTATAAACATAGGCAGTCGTCAGTGTGCCAAACCTGCCCTGACATTATTGCCAATTATGCCCTTATTTTGACTCAATTTCAAATTTTTATAAAAATATTTTGAAGCATCGGAATGAAAAAGTAAAAATTGCGCTGGATAGTTTAGAGTCTAAACTATCAAAAGCATGTATTTTTTTCATAAATAATCAACATTTTTCCAGAACATCCAATCGAGTGAATAATGAAGCGACCAAAATTTTTACGTTGCTTTTTTCAAAGTGAAAAAACTAGAAGTAAATAGCATTTTTTAAATTCCATTTTTGCAGATAAAATACTTTGATGCATAATGAATCATCTTCAGATAATTTAAAAAAATTTTTTTGTTCAATAAATTGTGGGTGCCAACCGTAGCCGGGGTGCCCGCTATACCCCGGTCTCCCCTATACTTTTATATACTTTAAAATTATTTTAATGCAGAAAAATATGACTTTATCCCAAACAATCACATCATAAAAAATTGAAAAATCGAAAAATATATTCGTTTCTTCAAGAAAATGGTGAGTATAATCATTCATAAAAAATTTCATATAATTATCTGATAGGTTTTTGACTCATCTTTCCAAAGCCGTTTTCAGATTCTAAAAATTCGCAAGTTTCGCTGAGATGTTTTTGTACTATGAGCTTTTTGAGCTTAAAAATCAATAATACTGTTCGCTGAATTTTTTGATACATGGAGCTGGCTCAGCCATTTTCTTGCAGACACTAATATATTTTTCGATTTTTTAATTATTTATAATGTCATTTTTTCGATAAAGTCGTATTTTTCTGCATTAAAAGAATTTTAAAGTATATAATAATACATACCATTGGATTCGTAATAAAAAATCCTAACTTTTGGCAGTGTCAAAAAATTTTCTAGATTTTTTCTGTTCATTTGCCGCTCGCTAGAAAATGAACTTTGCGAAATTTGCGAAAAAAAAAACTATCAAAAAAGTGTATTTTTTTTCAATGAAATCGTATTCTTCGGTCAAAATTGACTACGGAATTCGATTTTACACCTAAAATTACGTAACGTCTTGCCAATATAGATTTTACCCTAATAGCAAAGTTAGCAATCTATAAATATTGCTAAATTTTAAAATCACGTTTTTAAACTTCAAACGTCTATCAACACTGGTTCCCGTCACTTTTTGGACTTCGTAGGTACGGCTTTTTTCACCTGAAATCTTGAACTTTCAGCTCAGCCATGAGCCCAGGTGATACAAAAAATTGGTGCAAAAACGGCCCGGTCTAGTTTTTAGATTATGAATATGATTTTTGATAACGATTTCGAATCTCTCATCAAAGTTTACATAAATAATCATGCTTTAACCATATTTTCAAACGCACCCCAAAAAGCAGAAAAAAATTTGAAAAATGAAAATCCAACTTAAAACCCCCGTTGATCCACGAGGGATGAAATTTTTATTTTTCACTGTGCTCTTCTAGAGTACATACATTAAGTTTTAACTGAATTTTTTTGACATCTTACGCTCGACGTGGCTTTACCTGTATATAAATATTTCCAACATATTTAAATGTATACTCACTACGAGGAAAACTTTAGTCGCTTCGTTTAAGTTACATTGGCTGTGAGTCATGCATAAATAAAAATAAGGATACCAATAAAAGAATAGTTGCAGAGTTCCCAACGAGACCAGATTAATGAACCAAGTAAAGTACGTTTTATAATAATTTTTTCTAAAACCATATGCCTCCTGTAATCAAAAAAATATCAATTTACCGTGTCTATAGATGAATGATGGTCAATATCGTACCAATACTTGGGATGATTCTCCTTTGAGATCTTGCTTATAAAATTGATTCATGTTATAATTACATTATACCTTTCACTTTTTATTCGCTTTACAAATTTAAAACTGCCATTGAAAGGGTATTTTATGTGATATTGACCGATGCAACTTTATTCCGATGATAGTTACACTCAAACTTGTTATTGTATTTTATTCAACCTTCAACGTTTGTAATTTGCTAATGAAGAAGCTAATGAGTGAGTTCTTTTTTAAAGACAATAACAATTTACTTTCTCACAATATTATTAAGGCAAACTAACTGTGTCACTGAACGACGTATCAGTGAAAAAACTTATGTAAACTAACTGCTACATCAAACGACTGACACAAACTAGTTGGTAGTATAACTCATTTACTTAGTTTTTAATTTGCTCGAACAGTGAAACGAGTGCTCTTTACTACTTTCCGTTTATGCCAAAAAAAGTTACATTCATATTTTTAAATTAAAAATATCTCAATTGCAGTAATAATCGTGTCAGTCGATAATTTGCTATTAACAAATACATTATAGTGGTATTCAAAGGGGAGTCAAAATTGTCATCAACGTATTTGTAATGAATGTAATCACTTATAGTATAGTCATTTACTTATTAAAGTTAATTTGATATTTATTCATTTGACTGTGAATGAGTGTGAATATTAAAAATGTGTAATTATAAACCGTATTTTTTACTAGCGCTTTAATTTTACTCGCTACGCTCGCTGGATATTTTAGACTTTTTTTGAGAAATTTCTGATTTTGAATTAAAAGAAAAAAAATTACTGTAGTAGTTCTATATATTATACACTATTCAACAAAATTATCGCAAAAAAATATTTCATCGAAATTTTGTCAATTTTTAAATGCTTCTATCTTGGTCTATTTTCATCGTATTGGGACGATTTTTTTTGATTTCTTGGGAATTTTGTCTTCTTGAAATCCATATATATCATATAGGGGGTCGAGTCAGTATCAAGTTAGCAGTAGTATTTGAGCGCAACACTAAAAGTTAATGAAAAAAATCGATTGTTCAAAAAATAAAGCTCTCTACGATAAATTTTGCGCTCCGTGGGTCGTTTTGAAGGTACCATTTTTGTACGCAAAATGCCCAAAAAATCGAGTCGATTTTACGTACTTTAAATGGTACTTTCAAAACGACCTACAGGGCGCAAAAATTATCGTAGAGAGCTTTATTTTATTTTAAATGCTCGTTGAAAAGAGTACTTCGACACGTTTGAACAATCGATTTTTTTCATTAACTTTTAGTGTTGAGCTCAAATACTACTGCTAACTCGATACAGACTCAAACCCCTATTATATGATATATATAGATTTAAAGAAGACAAAATTTCCAAGAAATCGAAAAAAATCTTCCCGATACGATGAAAATAGATCAAGATAGAAGCATTTGAAAATTGACAAAATTTCGATGAAATTTTTTGTTGCGATAATTTTGTTGCCTAGTGTATAATATATAGCATTATTATAGTACTATTATAGTATCATTGTAGTTCTATTATAGTACTATTATATTACTTTATTTTTAGGAATCGAAATCAGAAATTTTGGTGATCCAAGCACTTTTTTTCAGCTTCAATGCGTAATATATAAATTTTCAGCTCGCTTATTTGCTTTAGATTTTCATAATTGAAGTACACGACGATTTATGTTGTTTATGTAATCCTCTTTTTAAAAAAGCATCAGCCAAAAGTTTCGGCAGTTTATAAGCGTTCTGATTGGTTGAGAGAGTGGAACCGCGGAATGTATCAGTTTGTTGTCTATTGAGTATTGACTGTAAGTTGAGCGTTTTGATTAAGGAGGTTTCCTTGCAAAGTTCGCAAGAAGTACATATATCAATATCGATAGATTTCGACCTCCCAAATCCAATAGTATAGCTCTTATATGCCCAAAAATATCGAGAAAAACGCGATCAAAGTTCCGAAAATTAACATGGGCAACATAGAAATGCATGAAAATTTGAGCTACATTTACAATGTATGAAAAGAAATCAAAGCTTGCAGGAGAATGATTATATACAAATTGTAGAGAAAGTTCTCATCTTTCCAAAACCGTGTTTCAAAATAGAGGTAGCCAGCCGTTTTTGCAATATTTTTTTAATAAAAGACGCGAAAACACGACTTTTTTGGCTCGTTTTAGGGCTAGCAGACGACAAGCCAGCTAACTTACTGCGCGAACACTCAATTGACTAGCGTGTTACCCGAGGGAACCTCTTTAATTCCCTATAGGGCTTTTTCGCAACCGAAATTTCAATATTTTTTTATGTACAAACTAAAGACTTTAACTAAAAACCGTTTCGATATTTCGATACACAAGGATTTCTGCTTTCTCCAGATATTTTTTGCTTATTTTTTAATTGCACGGTAAACTAATTACAACTACTTTTACCAACCAACTTTAACATGTAAAGTATATGGGCGGTCGCTTTGTTTTGCCTCCAGGCAAATCAGCTGGTCGATTTTTGACCTTCACTGACTACTGCGAAAAAGCCCTATAGGAGGCCTGAGCGAGTTATGTCAATAAAGTTCAATTTAGAGCGCGCGAAACGCGCTTTTTTAGTGGCTAGTATTTGAGGAGGTTCCTATGGGTAACCGCTAGTCAATTGAGTGAAAACGAGTAAAAAAATCGTCTTTTCGCGTCTTTCATTCAAAAAATATTGAGAAAGTAACAGGCTACCTCTATTTTGAGGCTAAGTTTTAAAAAGAAGCGAACTTTTTCTACAATTTGTATATTATGATTACCGGGAGAACTTTGATTTTTTTACGTAAATTGTAAAAATAGCTCAAATTTGTATGCATTCCCTTATAAGCCCATTATTGGGATGTGTCTTTGGGATGCAGGATCAGAAGAGATCAAGAGAGATCATAAGAGAGAAGATATCAATAATTGCGAACTCGTTAGATCATGTTCACTATCGCCACCGCTCGCACACCGGGATTCTAGCAAGGCGGAAGAATAATGTATGTATCAGCGATCCGTGCTACTCCAAAAGTCGCTGCACACTGACTAGTGTTCGAACTTGTCAATGCTTGAAAATAAGTTAGACACTGTATCGAAACGAGTGAGCAAAATGTAAACATTAAACGTATCATATTATGGCCAATGATGTTGCACGCGAGTGTATAATATTCTAAGTATTCCGCGCCTCCTCGAAAAAAGATCGCATACTCGCAGAGACCGCGGTCTTTCAACCGAACCAACCGCGCGCAGTCTGCGACGACTCTAAAGTCGTCGACTCCAAATTCGTCGCAGACTGCGCGCGGCTACATTTCCGAAAATTGTTTTGTTTACTTTGCCCGGACGATCATTTCGAATCGATGCAGCTCCCCTTATAAAAATATCCTCTACGATCCCGTGAAATTCCTACAGGAATCCTATAGGATTCCTGTAGGAATTTCGCGAGATCCTATAGGAAATTTTTATAAGAGTCTTGCGCTGACGTGTGTTTGAACTTTTGTTGCGTTTTATAATATACGTATCGAAAATCTGTATGTGTATAGATATGGTTAAATCCCAAAATAAAATGCAGTTTCGTTAACAAAAAAGGGGAATTTTTTTGCGTGCCCAGCGGCCCGGACCCCCGCAAATTGTTCCTTCAAAGTCATCTTTCCACGCAAATACGACTTATTACTCGATTTCCAAGTCGTTGAAAAAGTATCAAAACTCATATAAAAAAATTAACTGACTACTTTATTCGATAGGAAATTTTTTCAGCTTTCGAGAAAATCGCCATCAAAGATTGAGGACTAAATATCTCGAAAAATTCAGTATGGATAAAGTGAACTTTTTGGTTTATTTTTGATTTTTTCGTATGAAAATTTAATATTTTGGAAAATCTGATATAACCAGGAAAGCTGAGGAAATTTCCTAACGAAAGCATATCTTCATTTATTTTTTGAGTCTAATTACGAGCGAATTTCGATTGTAGCGAGCCGTCCAACGCTAAAAAACCGCTCTGAAAACAGCTCGAGAACAGAAAACGGAGAACAAAGCAATCAAAATTCGCTTGTATAGGATTTTAATTCGACTCAAAAAATAAATGAAGTTTCTAGCTCACGTAAAAAGTATCAAAGTATGCTAAATAAAATAGCTTATAGTTTCTATAGTAAATTTCCTCAGTTTTCCGATGGTGTGTTTAGATTTAAATTGGCGCATGATGATTCAAGATGACGGACACATACTGAAAACATTAGGTACTTTTTTACTCGTAAACGATCTACTTAAAAAAAATGTTTTTAAATCTTCAAATGTTAAAATTACTCGTATGTACAATTTTCTAGAATTCATTTTTCTTCATTTTTCATAAATTAATTTCACTTTGCTATATGTACAAGTAGCTACAGCTCATCTTATGTCTAGCTTTTGGTTGCGACCATGGCCAATTGGCTATCGAACAAAATGAAACCACATAGGCTACAATAGATTAATGCTCGCTCTTGGATTTCTACGACTTAGCTTAGACGTGTTTAAAGCTTGTGTTGAGGGTCAACACACTCAATATTATTGTACTTAACTGTTTCTAAGTATGTAACTGGACAAAATACTTTTAAATAGGGTATTAAAAAGGGTTATCATGTGTGTTCTTGAAAAAAAATTTTTTTTTACTTTTACAGCCTAGTACTGTAATTGAAAAATGAAAAATAATTAAGCCCCCTGTCAACCCTTAAGTCTTTTTTACAAATAAAATTTGAGTCAATGTTATTTTTCAGGATTCAAAATCGTGTTTTTTTGCAATAAATTATTTATAACTTTTTTAATATGTATCAGCGGTTAATTATAAACTCATATACAAAAAGAAAATTAAATTTTTCGTAGGAAATGGCTACCTAAGAATTTTAAGATGATTTTACAGACTTGAAGTGAGAATAAAATTCTGTTCATTTGGGCGTTAACAGGTGGCGAAGCGCTAGGTACTTTTTATATAGTGTGCGGTAAAGTTATGGAAACATCTAGAAATTTCGTAAAATAAGTGTAGAAAAAAATCAAAAACATCATACCCGATGTATTTTTTGACGAGGAATCCAATGGACCTTGAATTTGACCTTGAATCTAATCTCAAAGCTGTAGCGACCCAAAAATAAATTTTTCGAAAAGGGAACTCCCATTTTTTATTGAAAATTTGGAAATAGCAGACAATTTTACTTTCGAATATGTTTTTCTGTTTTTTTAAAAGGTCATTTTGGGAGCACTTCAGTTCAAAAATAGTTCCTTATTTCAGCTTTTGAGTTGAGTTAAGTTGAGTTGTCATTTATTTGTAATACGAGAGAAGAAATAGATTTTATCTTCTTAAATGTCAA